GTCAGGATGACCTGCTGCAGAGGCAGGACGTACTTCTCCATCTCGGGGTCGGCACCGATCTGCTTGAGGATGGGGGTGATCTTCTTGCAGATGGACAGGGGGTGGAAGTCCACCTCGAGGATGTTGTAGAGGTCACGGATCTCGGGGCGGGCGCGCTTGAGCAGGCCCTTGTTGAGGGCATCCTTGAACAGCACCGCACGAGTGGGGGGAGAGGCCATACCCAACAGGTTGGTGAGACGGGTGTTCTTGTTCTTGCGGACCTCATCCACATCGACCAGGGCACCGCGGGAGCGGGAAGTGCTGATGACGGGGATGGAGAGGGCGGACAGCAGGACGAAGGAGGCGGCCTTGGTCATGTCGGCCTCGGTGACGGAGGGGTTCTCCTTCTTGGTACCCTGGCCAGCAGCCAGAGTGGCGGCGGACTGGCGGAGAAGGTTGTAATAACGGCTGAAGGCCGCGGCGTGGAAGAGGTAGTTCTCGCTGACCAGGAAGATACGGGCCAGCTTCTCGTAGTAGTTGGCCATCATAACGTTCTTGGCGGGGCGCTTGCTGAGGCTGAGAAGGGTGTGGATGTCCTCAATGCTGCGGAAGGCCTCCTGCCACAGCTCCAGCTCGACGGCAACGTTCAGCTGCTGGAAACGGGTGTCCAGGTGGCGCTGGAGGGTATCCGGGTCGCTGAGATTGATGGCGTGCATCTGAGCGGAGTACTTGGCGGCATTCTGGACGTGGTTACGGAGCAGCTCGCACAGACGGCGGAACTCGGTCTTGCGGGTGTACTTGAGACAGAACTGGAAGGCCTGCAGGGCGGTGGTCTGGTACATAACCTCAAGGCGGGCATTGTTCTTGAGGATTTCGAGCACGGTGCGGTAGGTCTCCCAGAGGAACTTGAGCCAAGGAGTGACAACAGCACGGTCCGTGCGGTCGCGGGACTGCTCACCGGAGACGGTGGCGAGCAGGATGGTCTCGGGGGTCTCGATGGCTTCCAGATCCTCGACGTTGGAGGAAGGGGCGGCGGACTCGAGAGAAGACTGGATCTCATCGGCCTTGGCCTGAGCCTCGGTGACCTTCTTCTCGGCGAGTTCGATGAACTTCTTGAGAACAACCTATACCAGGTGAAGGGTTAGATACTGCGGTTGGGGGGGAGGGATGTAGTTTATGAAAGGGGGAGGGGGAAAAAAAAATTCTCCTACCTCGATCGTTCCGACGTTGGTGTTCTGGGCGATGTTCTTGTACTGGTAGAGACCATCCTTGGCGGCCTTGCCCTTGCGAAGATCGACACAGAGCTCGACGAAGAGGAGCATCACCGGCTCCAGAGAGGCGATGGGGCTGCTGCGCGTCCGCTTGGAGGTAACATGTTCGTGAAGGACGTTGAGGGCGGCGGGGGCCTGACCCACGGCGATGAGTTCCTGAGCCCTCTGCGGACAAGATACCGGTCAGCATGAATTTTTTCCATCACCAAATGTTTCCTTTTCCCATCCCACGACATAACATTCCGACAATATATATAATCGAATAGTATTCGGGACAAGTAACCGGACTGGCGTACCTTGAGGACATTTTCAGGCTTGATGTGAGGCGGAGGCGGCATGGTGGGCGACGATAGCGGCTGGGATAAGCGATCACAATAGGGTGGATGAAGGCGACGATGCTATCCTTCGACTGGGAGAAGGTCGAAAGGGAAGAAAAGGCACGTCGGATCGCACAACGACAGGCGGGCAGCAGGGAGTCGAGGGCGTAAGGAGGAGCCTGAAGATAGAAAGGCTGCCACGCGACGGTCGGCGAGAAAGACCCAGACAAGAGAACGTCAGGCAGTCAATCTTGTTGAGAAAGACAGACAAGGGCAACTCTCTCTCTCTCTTCTCGCTCTCTGACTCTCTCGTTGTGCGAACCGCGAAAATTCCGGCCGCCGGCGTTCCCACTTTGGGTTAAGCGATGCGGGTCACGTGTTTACCCCCGTGTTTATGGCTTTGGATTGGAGGGGATTGTCCCCATGGGAATGATTTATTGTACATTATAGTTCTTTCTTTTCTTATCCATTCATTCCATTGAAGACATACCTTTATTCTGCCATTATTTCCCCATTCTGAGAGTGGCTGTTCTGCTTCTCAGCCAACCTCTCGGGGAGCCATTTTTTCCATTCCTCCCTACTCTCCCGGGTTGGACTGTGTTTGGCCCGTTTGAGACGAGACGATCACTTGCAGTGAAATAAGAACATGTTGTCATGAACGCGTCCAAGCTTCTGAACTATGGACTAGTGTGTCTAGATGGAAAATAAAATATACGATTGACAGGGTTGCGACAGCAAACAAGAGTATTGCTGCCACTACTGCTGCTGCTGCTGATGATGAAGGGGGCGGGATTACTCGGTATAATTAGTAGCTACGTAGTATGGGGGGGTGGGAAGAGAGAGAGGGCAACAGTGCTCAGGGATGAATTGATTGGATAGGATGGGGATCAAGCAGTGATCCATCCACGTGAGGCTGATGAGCCTCCTCCAGAAGTAAAATGCTACAACAAACAATTCAATCCATAAACTATATCTATAATAAGAATTAAAATAGCAAAAAAGAGGATTCTGCATGAGGGAGGGTGCAACCTGACGCAAAACGGAAAAACGCCTGCTAGACAGCCTTTTTTTTGTGCTGACTACATCCGAGCTATCCAGTCGAACTAAATCGACTAAACTGAACTAGTCTTAAGTTGACCAGCTTCTCTCCTCTCTCTCAGGGGGAAGGGAAAGAAGAATTATGGATTCCAGTGGGAAATGAACGGATTGCCCCCTGCGACTCACAGACCACCTCTTCTCTCTCTTCTCTCTCTCTGATTATACTGCTACTGCTAGTAATTTTGCTAACTAAACTCAACTAATACCAAGACTAAAGTTCCCATTTTCCCTCTCTTTTTCCCTCTCTCCTCCCCCCTCTTTTTTCCCTTTTTTCCCTTTTTTCCTCCTCTGGTCCAGCAGTAGTCGTTCGCTTTCCATTTTGCCCAGCCAAATCCTCCTGGTTCTTCCTGCTCTCCCTAATTCTATTCTTCTTCTTCTTCTTCTTCCTCTTCTTCTTTTTACTCCTTCGTCTGATTCTTACTCACGTTCAATATATCGTGAAGTCGAGTTCAGCCTCTCCTCCTCCCCTCCCCCCTTCCATTCATTCTTTAGAAATCAATTCCTCGGAGGAACCCCCCTCTTTCTCTCTTCTTCCCCCGGTCGCTGTTCCCACTTACATTCCCTCTTCCCTCCCTCCCTCATAATCGTCTCCATCCTTCCCCCCCCAAAGTTCCTCCTCATCCTCCCACCTCTTAATCCCTCCCTTTTCGCGTCCGCCCGCCGTTCCCGCCCGGCTTTGCTTTTCCCCTTACTTTCCTGCCGGCTCGACGCGCAAAGAAAAGAACCTTAAGCTTGAGCCGCCCGACCGATCCTGCTGAATCCACCATCTTCCATCCAACACATCACATTGCTTCCTCTCCACCTCCACCTCCAGGCACATCCACCCCCAACGTCTCTTCCACTTCCGCTGCGACTGCTGCTGCTACTGCCGCCGCCGCCCTCCGATCTCATCGTCGCGCTTACGTCTCCAACTTAATTCGATTAACTTCCCGGGTTTCGCACGTTTCGTCCCCGCTCCAACCGTCGTCAGAATGCCTGCCTACGAGCTCCGATCGGGTGGTGATGTCAAGAACAAGAAGCAGAGTGTGGCCGATCTCAAGTACCGTCGTCTGACCGAGCTCAATGCTCGGTTGAAGGAGGACCTCGACCGGCCTCGTGTCAAGGTGTCCGAGGCTGCGCTGTCGTAAGTTTCCCCCGGCTGTCGTGCTCCGCCCCCCGTCCAGCCACCGCGTGATACTTACCCCATCGCGTTTTATCCAGGTTGATCAACTACTGCAACAACACGCGCGATTTCATGGTACCATCCGTATGGGGTCAGGTATGCGACATGCTTTCTCCATTTGCTTCTGGTTGTGCAGCAATGACAGCAGGTTACTGACGGTCGCGCAGGTCGACAAGCGTGAGGACCCATACGCCCCTCAGCAGCAGGGAGGATGCTGCACGGTCATGTAATGGTCTCATGACATTTCCACGTCTTTTGATTCGGACGGACTGAGGGTCGCCGTCAGTCCGTCGGCGCTTTTATATCCCCTCTTGCGATGACAATTATCTTTTCTCACCACTTCTTTTTCTTAAACTTCTCGACCCTTTCTTTTTCTTTCTATATCTAATTCTCTGTCACCATACCTTGGACCTATGGACAGCCCATCCGCCTTGTTGCTCCGAATGGTGAGCATTGTCAGCGACAAAAAAGAAAAGAGAGACCACGGAGAAGCGGATGCGAGGCTCTGGCCCTTGAGGGAACGCGCTGGACCTGCATGAACTGGGAGGGACTGAGCGGTCGCACCATTGAACCAGTTCATGATCTGATTTTCACCTTGAAACGCGACAGACGGCTCCCTGCGGGCTTCCAGTTTACACCTTTTTTTCTCTCTATTTTCTCATTTTGTGTTGGGCGTGAGAGTGTGCTCGACAGGAGTCATTTCCCTTCTAGTGATTTTATTGGACATCTTTCCTTTGTGTTAGCAGTGATATTGGATACGGGATGGGGAAAACAAAATCGGACGCCCGGTTTGTAGTATAGATGGGCTAGTTAATATAGTTGAAGCAACTGCTCGTACCCACACAGTAATTGCAGCACTGATAGCTTTCAGATAAGCAGCGAAGTAGTAAAGAAAAGGCAGATCACAGAATGGATCATATGCAACGACCCGGACTTCGGAGAATACTTTTTTAAAGAATAATTGACACCTGCACTGGCCGTACATTAGACACAGTTAGGTTAATTCTATACTAATCAATAGTTAACAATAGCAAAGTCAGTTATCAATTCAAGTAACTAACAATTACTTAAACCCACCATCCACCAACCCACCCGCTGACATCATCCAATCCTCCCCTCCAACTTAGCTAACTACTAACTTAACTACTCTTCACACAATCACCCGTTCCTCTTCCACCACCATCCACCTAACCTCACCACAACAACCACACCTGAATATAAAAAAGAAATCAAAAAAGAATAAACAATGACGGACCCCCTCCCACCCCTCACCCAACCCACCACATCCACATCCACATCCACATCCACAACCAAACCCCAAGGACCAAAAACTACCAAAAACATGCACAACCACCTCCCCCGCATCACCATCAAATACTGCACCCAATGTAAATGGTTACTGCGCGCTGCATACGTAAGTCACCCCCCATACCATACCCTTCCTCCCCTAACTTCTATACATGCATGGCATGCATGCATGCATACATATACATATAAACTAAGTAACCATTCAACAACCAAAAAAAAAAAAAAAAAAAAAAAAAACTGATATATTTCAAATTTCTGGAAACAGTTCGCCCAAGAACTCCTCTCTACATTCAGCACCCAGCTTGGCGAAGTAGCTCTCGTTCCTGCGACGGGGGGTGTGTTTACTGTTACGATGTATCATTCTTCTTCTTCTTCTTCTTCTTCTTCTTCTTCTTCTTCTTCTTCTTCTTCTACTACTACTACTACTACCTCTGCCTCTGCCTCTTCTACATCTACGGGTACAGCACAAGGTGAAGAGGTACCAGTAGCAGTAGCAGGTACTGGGGATGAGGAGGAGGATGATATCACCGAGATTATTCTTTGGGATAGGAAGACGAATGGGGGGTTTCCTGGTATGTATTATCCTTCTCTTCCATTTCTCTATTTCTTTATTTCTTTATTTCTGGTGCATGGGTGTGGAGCTGCGATGGGATGATTGCTAATTGGCTTTTTGGCTTTGTAGAAGTCAAAGTGTTGAAAAGTCTGGTGAGAAATGTCGTCGATCCTAGTAGGGATTTGGGACATACGGATCGGGCCTTGAGGGCTGCGAATGTGCCGGTGCAGAGCCAGGAAGGGGATGAGATGAAGGTTGTGGGGAAGAGTGAGGAGCAGGGTTCTACTGCTGCTGCTGCTGCTGCTGCTGCTACCACTACTGCTACGAAAGAAGGTGATAGGTGTGAGGAGTGTCAGTGATCATCTACTCAACAAATAGAATCATCATGTAAATGCAGACAAACATATATGCTCAAGTCCATTTAAAAAGGAATAAACCCATACAAAATATCAAGTACAGTCCTGCCTGAGCCACCTCCAAAACGCCAGTCCACGCCCCGTCTCTAGTTGCCCCGTCCTGCCCGCCTCTGTATGGTGACAAATGAAAATGTGAAACGGTCAATGTGTAAAATGGATTATGTGAAGTGAAAGAAGAGAAAAAAGATCGGAAGAAGAAGGAAAAAAAAGAAGAGTATCGAAGAAGTAAAGTGCCATGCCAGCAGACCAGCGCAATATCTGGCTGTGCATCATCGTCAAAAGCTCAGATATAGCTATATCCACCGAGCCGGTCGTCAAATCATGCAATTCCATCATAAAATCCAGAGTCGTCACCAGAATGTTTCCCATTCATATGTGCCCATGTAATCCCAACCCTCGTTTTGCTCACTCGCGAAAATCCAACCCGCCAGGAACACCGTGAATCATCCCAAACGAGAAAACAAGAGAAAACTGAAATCCAATCAACTTCCCGGGCCATCACGTCTCCCCGCTCAGCTCGTGCTGATGCGAGTGATGTGTGCGCCGCTTCCAGAACGCCAACCGCAGTCGGCTTCGTCGCTTCGGCAGCTTGCGCGGTGGTGCGTGCTCCTTGGACCCGTGCTCGTCCCACCGGGGCCCACGCCCATCGTTTTTCATGCTTCCAGTCGTCGTCGTGGATTGTGCCGAGCTGCTCGTCCCATTCCCCACCGGCGACGTCACCTTGGCAGCATCGTAATTGTGCGGATCGGAAGCCCGGCGAGTGCTCGGGTACGCAGCGCTGACTTGTGGGTGGTTCGATGTGGCCGGTCGCGTGTACGCCCGGTCCCATTCGCCGTCACTCCGACTGATGCTTTCGCGGGGGAAGCCCTTGTCATCGCTGTCCACGCTGAGGAAACTAGTGGCATTCGTAGACGGAGAGATCGGTGTCATGTTGTTGCTGTAGGTGCTGACGCTGTGCGTGCGAGTGCAACTGTTCCGTTGTGAATTCGAGGGCCCCGATGTGCGTCCCGACGAGGCTGTATTCGCGTGCTGGCGTCGACCACTAGGCGGCCCATGTCGTGAGCTACTCGGTCTCCCTTCCACGGAGCTGTTACGAGCACTGGAGCGACCCGACGTGTCGCCGTTGCCTGCAGCAGAGCCATTGGCAAACAGGACAGCCGCCAGAACGGTGGGGTCACTCGAAGCACGAATTGCGTCGGAGCAACCGTCCATATTGTCGCTCAGACGAGCAGAAGGCGTGGTGGCCTGGCCCTCAGGGATGACCCCAGAAGATCTGCGAGAGGCTGCCTCATCTGGCGACGGCATCGAACACCCGGTGATGTCCATAGACGGGCCCGGCGTGTCCGGCGAAACAACGGGACTAATAGTGTTCTCATTATAGTCGCTGGGCGCATCGTCCGAGCCCAGCGGGGTAGGAGCGGTACCAAAGTAATCATCTGGGGTTGACCGCCGACTCGCGGGTTCACTGGTCGGAAGGGCTGGTTTGATGGGGGTTTTCGGACTATTGATGGCTAGCGGCGCGTGGAGGCCCCTCAAACTTGGGATGGGACTCTGAGTGCGGGGCGACACCAAGTCGTCCGGACGAAGATCAGCCTGCAGGGTTTGCCGATTCTTCTCCATGTCGGCGAGGAAATGCCATTTCGACTGGTTGCTGCGGATGTGCTCTACTGTAAACTTCAGGTCGGGCAGGATGTCAGACACGCCCTCGAACAGCGGCAAAGCGAAAATCGACATGAATCCAATCTGGCCGGTGGCGAGCTTGTAAATATTCCCTAATTCCGGTGGGCCGCCGAATAGTGCAGTCTCCATCCCAACCTCCTTCTCCATCTCGCCCTGATTGGCGAATTCCTCCTGCAGGATCTGGGTCCACTTCTCCGCAACATCCCACGGGCGCGCCACGTTACTGATATCAGCGCATTTGATCAGCAGCCCACACAGCAGTGTCTTATAAAGCTCCAAGTCTTGGGGCTTCCACCCATCCACAGTCCGGTTGTTTTCGTGGAACTTCTCCTGGAGCGACCCCAACCGTTCCATGAATTTCTGGTGCACTCCCATGTCCGTGGCGAGAATAGAGCTGATCAGAAGCTTGCGAAGTTGTCGATCCTTGAATGCGGTCGGCCAGTAACGACGCAGGATCTGGGAGAAGGCAGCACAGTGGAATGCCTCCAAGACTGAATTGTCGTTGTATAGCTGTGCCAGCGGGGCATTCAGTTTGACCAGGAAGAAGTTGTTCACGCCCGGATGGCCGACGTCGTGGCCAATGGCGGAGATCAAAAGGGTAAGGGTATCAAACGGAGTGAGGAGGGACGCGATCGGACATTTGTCGCCGACCGTCGGGCTATTAGGCCCATAGGGGGGAAGAGCGCCGATGTGCAATAGGAAGCAGAAGACCGATTGCAACACATCGATCGCGTGTCGGAAGTTATGGTAGAGAACGAAGGAATTATATGAGGCGCGACAGGCGAGAAGAAACGTGCGGAGTTCACCTAGGAAAGGGAGTCCCGTCGTCAGTTGACCTACACTAAACCAATTTATGCGGCAATTTACTTACCTGGTGTCAGCTGCCACTGCTCCAGTTCCGAGTATTGCAGAGCATGCTGCAGCATTTCAAATGCAGCCAAGACCAATTCGTCGTCCGAAAACTCATGGGCGGTAAAACCCCATTGTGCAATATGTTCTCTTACAAAATCCGCGCGGTCCGGACGAACGTCCAGTTCCCGGTCCTGGAACTCCTCAATAACCTCTTCGGGATTGCAGATGCCTCGCATGAGCTTGGAGACCATGGCTTCTCGAAGATACGCATAGGGCTGCTCGTCATTGACGCCCACCCACGAGTGTTTCCGCAGTTTCTTTCGGGAGAGGAAGCGCGACTGTTCCCGGAGAGCCGTTTTACGAGTCCGGTACGCCTGGACAACCAGAGCTTGAGCTCTACAGCTATCCAACGGGGTTACTAACACGTCCACGGCACCAGCATCCAGGCATTTGGAGATATGCTGAGGATCAGGGAAAGACGGAATACGGGGTTGGTCGGCCGGGGAGGCGCTAGTGGGGTCGGCGAAGGGAGGGCGCAGAACAGCGACCGGAACGATCACATTGGGGCCATCCTGAACCTGGATGTCCGCGGACAACCCTGACAGCAACTTCAGGTCGTACGCCCCTTCCCATTGTGAGGTGAATGTAAAACCGCGACGCAGGGACGCCGGCGACGGAGGCGATACATCGGGCCACGAACCACGGCTCGCTCGGCGGCGCTGCAGAGCGGCCTCCTCGCCGTGTATATCAATGTCGAAGAAAACGAAGATAGGTGTGCAGCGACTCTGAGCCCCGTCGCTTATCTCTGCTAACTTGTTTGCGATGGCGGTGCCGACCTGACAGAGATAGATGCGTTTACAAACTCCTAACAGAACTTGAACGTCGGCCGACAACGATTCCGGTTCCTCGATTGTTCCCGAATCCGACTCCGCGCCTGCCGGTGCCTCCGGAGTACCTTGATACACCCAGCGTTCTGATCGGACACGGTGGTCGATATAGATTGCAGAGCATTCGATGCCATCCATGGTGTCGGTTGGATTTGAAACACCCATCATCTAGGGGGGGTTTCTCCACTCCGGAATGTCAAGTCTCAGGACAATAACAGATGTGAGAGGAGAATATATAGCAGCCTAGCCGGTCCGAACTCGGGTTCATATGGTTGATGGATATAGTAGTACAGGTGGTGTGGGAGGGTCGAGAAATCTCAAGGAGGAACGAACGGCCGGTACACGGTACAAAGAGGAGCGAAGGAGCGTTGAGAAAGTCGAAGTGAAAAGGGAGAGACTTGCGATCGGTGACGTTATACAGTTGGGTTCTAAATCGGTTTCTAGACTGGGTCAGCGAGGGTCAGAGACTGGACGCAACGGTCTGCAGAATATGCGAGCGCCGACAGGAGCAGGCGACAAAAAGAGAAAGAAGAGTGTGCAGCGACCAGCGAAGCAGATGAGCGACGGCGACAAGCCGCCGTCGAGGGGGGTGCGCGCAGTTGAACAATGAGTTTGTTGGCTGCAGCTGTCCAGCAGGAGAATGAGCGATAATCCTTCGACCCTGTGGGGGGTGAGAGGAATGATGGTAACGTGCAGGACCAGCCAAAACCCATTCTGAGACAACCGGGTTCTTTTGCACCGGCACCGCATGCACGCCTCCAGACGGCGGTTGGCTGCGATCGCCACACCTGCATACACAGGCAGTTGCCCACGCAAACACACAGGATTGTTTCACTCACAGGTGTGGAAGAGAGTCGACAGAGGTAAGAAGGAAATTTAGAAGGCGAAGAGAATGGTAGGAATTCGGTCAATGGTGAGAGAGGTGGGAGTGGTAGTAGTGGTGGTGTGTAGTGGTGAAGGTGGTTGTGGTGGTGGTGTGTAGTCAGTTCGTCACCCACGGGGGGGGAGGAAGATGGCGCCCGAGTGAAATCGACCCAACGGGGGAAGACAGAGAGATCGCGACACATGCGAGAATTCGGCTAGATGAAAGCGACGAAATTCGCGACCCAGAAAGAACCAAAGACTTAGGGCGTCATGGTGGGCCACTGTGAAGACCAGACGGAGAAAAGATGACACGAGACTTTGAGGAAAGAAGAAGGGTGGAGAGGGAAAAGAAGATCGATCGGGAGGAGAGGGCGAAGGGGCCGCACGGGTGGGCGAAGGTTGGCTTGGGTGGATGGTTCGACCGGGTCGGGTCTGGGCTGGGATGTGGGTTGTGGCAGAGTAAAAAAAAAAAAAAAAAAAAAAAAGAATAAAAGACGATGGATTAGGTAAATGTTAAGGAAAAAAAAAAAAGGGTAAAAATAAGTGATCAATATATAAAATAAAATAAGAGATATTTTAAGGGATCTGTAAATTTTAATCCCCAGTGAGCCACTTCTCGGAATTCGAGGGAGGGGGGGAGGAGAAAAACGGGGAATAAAATATGAAATCAGTAGATCGTGGTGGTGGTGGTCGTGGGGAAATCAAGGGGAAAAGGGACCCAAGGGTCAGAGAGTGAGAGAGTTGGAGATAAGAGAGGATGTCAAGAGAGGAGACACGGATGATGTCAAAGGAACAGTGGATGGAGTGGAAAGCTTTTTTTTTGAGTTATGTAAGAAAGAATTTAGGAATGATAAGAAAAGGGTGAAAAGAAAAAGAGAGAGAGAGAGAGAGAAAGAGAGACAAGAAGAAAGAAGGAGAGATGAGAGAATGACCGGGGTGGTAAGTAGGTGGTGGTGAGGAACCGAGCAGGAAGGAAAGAAGACCGAGAGGGAAGAGAAAGAAGAGGAGAGAGGGAGAGGAGAGGAGACAGAGAGGAAGAGGAAGAAGGAAGACCTTAGAGACTAGAGGGAAAAGAGGTTCGTGGACAATGCGGGCAGAAGATGGAGAATTGGAATCACTAGCAGAATTCCCCAGATGAACCCAAGATGAAGTCTTGATTGACAGTCAAGATGAAGAGAAACCAGACACAATTTGTGACTGACAGGCTATTGACATAACATTTCTTCATTTACTACTCACTATAAACTAACTAGTAGTAAACTACAAATAAGCAGAGAGTTCTTCGACAGCAACTTAACCACCACAAGCTCAACAAGGTTCGTACTTCCTGCTGCTGGGGATTCCTGCGGATTCTGCCAGTCTTCCAGAAGCTCTGCGGCACGGCAGGCTTGCGTCGTCGTCGTCAGATCCAATTGAAGGCTGCGGGTGGGTATCCGTATGGTAATGTGATTACAGATCCGATACACACACACACGCACACACACATATACACATCAGGCCAACCAACAATAACAATAACAACAACTATCACCAAAGTGACCAAACAGCCTCGACTCTGCCACTCAGCCTACTATTTGTCTGAGTGTCTGAGTGTCTGTCTGTCTCCTCCGACTCCGTTCTCCTCGAGGGTTTCAGGTTTCCAATAGGATGGGGACGATCTGACCATGCAATCGACTCCTCCGACTAGTGACGGGCGTGCCTCGGAGCTGAACAGATTAATCCCGGGTTAGATACTTAGCTTTGTTACTAGAGTCGAGTCTTGACCTGAGTCAAGTCTAAGCTAGATAGGTACGATCGGCTGTGTGTTCCTCCCCACTTCCCTGCTCTTTCTCTCGCTCGCTCTCTTTCTTGGTGGTGCATCTGGACTCCGCGTTTGTTGCCTGTATTCGGCTGACCGATGTAAGGAATTCGACTAGAACCTCCATGGAAGTCGCCAGGATGCAGATTCATTGCAGGAATGTGTGACTTACCATTGCACCACCCGAGAATTTCCACCTTCATTAACCAACCTAATGAGGACGAAAACAAACACAGAATAAATTGATTAAATTAGTATTTATTCAGGTATCATTATGCCCGATGAGTATTATAATAATGATACTATAAATACTAATACTAATAATAATGACTATTATGATTACTATGATTCAATTGCCCTGAACGAAGAAACCACAAGAACCAGTGGAGAGATTAAGGACACATAACACGTAAACCCCCCCTCAGTTGCTGCCCGTCCAGAACCAAAGGAACCACAAATGACAGTACAGGGAAAAAGGAAAAAAAAAACAGGCAACCCGAAAAGAGAGTAAGAAAACAGAAAGAGAACGAAAAGAAAAAAAGTGGAGAAAGATGACGCTTAAGCAAGCGATCTCATTAGCTCCAGGCTGGACTCTGTTGGTTTTCTAGAATTTCCCGGGCGGGGCTTGGCGCCTTAGCCGGGCGCTGGAAGGAGGGATGATTTAATTTCCCTGCGCTGGTTGTTATTATTATTATTATTATTATTCAATCACTTGGTGCACGCTCACTACACTAACTTGTACTGGTTAAACATACTTGTCCTCTCCATCTTCTTCATCGTCATCATCATCACCGGGGAGGAAATGTTTCGGCCATCCCAAATTACTCTTGCTCTCAATATCATTTTCGAGGGTCTAGATTAGATACCGGCTAAAATGACGATGAGCGGGCTTGATTCAAAGTGGCTCTAATTCAACCCTGGAAACTGAAACTAAGCAAATGACATCAACAATTCGGTTACCCCATTTTTCCCATCATCTTGGGTTGAGGTACGTACTACTATTGTGCAATTTATTTTACTTAACTGTTTGAATCCACACATTGATAATATTATGTTTTATTTCTGGATGTCGTACTAAGTAGTACTTCCCTTTTACCCTCACCGTTAAACTCTCAAACTCACGAACCCTGGGGGAGAGAAGGGTTCATGTCCCGTCGATCGCCAGCCACAAAGCGACACGACGGCCCAGATACTAAACAAATACAGGTTTCCCAGCAAAGCAAAGCACCGACAACGAGTCAGTGTAACAGCCTAACCACCTACCTTAAAAGTGACTAGTTTACTGGTTAGTAGGTGGTCAATGAGGAATGAATGGATGTGGATTGCTGTTCTGGCCGCCCTGCCCGCCCGCTTCCTTCCTTCCTTCCCTTCCTTCGGCAGACACTTGACTGACTGACTGACTGACTCCCCTCCCTCGCGCACACACATCATCTTTTTTTATTTTTTTCTAGAACTTCCATCCTATCCCGTCTGTCCGCTCGATCCTTCCGTTCATCCACACATCTCCCACACACACTCTCTCTCTCACCCCCCATCCATTCATTCCCACATGGCGGTCTACTCTCAGCTCTCAGCTTGCAGACTGCAGAGTGCAGCCTAGTCTACTGGCCTTGGCACTGTCGGTATTGCACTTTTTATGCCTTTTATCCAACTTAAAAGTATATATTATAATTGCTTTTATACTCAAATAGGTGATCTATTCCGTGATCACAGTACAGCATGTCTTATGTAGTTGTGATTACACCATCTATACATGCGGATTTGGTCACAGAAAGCCAAAGGGGATGAGTTCACCCCTCCCTTACCCTACCACCACCTCCTCCTCCCCTCCAAGTGGCAACTGGACAATTGGCACAGCACAGCAGCAGTCAGCCACAGGTGACGTCGACTCTTTCCCTCCTTTTCTAACTAACTAGCTATAGTTAGTTAGAAGGGGGCGTTGTTGAGTCACACTGCTTACTTACTAACCACTCCATAAAATGGAATGGATGGATGATGTGATGGCTGACCCATGGTTAAGGAAAATGAGAACCCTGTGCGGCAGGCTACGTACGAGAAATGGCGGAAGCCTCTTACGATTGTACGATATCAGAGTTAATAACTAAGGGTATTATTGATGATGACTTAAAGAATGTGATTTAATATCTTTATTTATTCCTGTATTATAACTCTATGGTATTAACTTACATCCAGACTATAGATACAAAGAGACAAACTAAGTCCAACAGATAACTAACTCACAAAGTGGTCGACAGATGATTAATAATACTCAAAACTGAAGGAATGCAAATCCCGCCTTGCCGATTCGTTCGCGAATCCCACCAATCAGAATGCCTGTATACAGCCGTTTCAAAGTTCCCCGACCGCGGACGGGCTGGCCGGGGGAGGAAGAAGATCACGGGTCAATCCTCAGTTACTAAGTGGTAACTTATCTAACTAACACATGCAAGGAGAAAACATTCGCCGCGGTAGTTTTCATTTGCAATTATCTATCCAGAATAGAGATAAGAAATATACTATAGAATCCTCATGGAATTTTCGCTCGGAGGTATTACCTCTTGTCTATCACTACTCACTACACCACAGACTAAATATAGGATGCAATATATATATATATATAGTATAAACTGTGGAAAGGAAATATACTTCCGAACTGATGTATATATAGGTACCACCATAATGATAAAAAAGGTTAGTACTTATATGCAATCCACCTCACCTACGCATATACTATATCACACTACGCTACTACCACCATCGTCATGATCACCATGATACTACTACATACATATCCCCCACTCCAACAATGGAAACCAAAGTACTACCTAACTACTAACTGCCCTCCCCGCAGCATACTCAACCACCACCAACTATATCCGACAAATAATTAATCATCTCTACTTCCTAGTACTTCAAATAATAGTACTAATGCATTGCACAGCCACACACAACACATCCACCACCAACCAATCCCCTAACAGATTCAATCCATCATTCCCAATAACTCAAAGATAAGAGACTAAGTACTAGAACAAGACATGCCGTATCACCCTGCAGCTAAACTATAGCCTCGGCAGTAGTAGTAGTAGTGGTAGGCAGCAGGAAAATCAGGAAAATCAGTGTCTTACATCAGGACCTAACTAACCACTAGAAGTTACTTACCCCGCATTAATCTACTAGATTAACACCTTGAATTCCAGGTATATGTTAGTTATTCTGCCTTGATAGGCAGCAGCAGCAGTTCTTGCCACTGCATGCATGCATGACTACTATCGACTTGGATGGGATTGGTCAATGGGTCATGAATCGCGGTGCTGGGGGTTGGCTGCAGGATCTGAGTCAGTCAACTAGCTAACTAGCCACTACTACTAACTACTTTAGAGTATATCAGGCTAGTATACTAGTATAGCTATAATAGAGTATATTAATGAACATGTGATGGCTGGATTTGGGCTATTATTATGATAGTATTCGATTGTATTGAGTATTTCTTATCATGCAATATGCGATCCTGGTTGTAGCCACAGCATTCAGAAAAACATTCGAGTATGCGCCTTCTCATGATTATCAAAAACATACAAGAGAAGACTTTGGAGAAAGCCAGATGATAGATAGATAGATGGTGGACAGAAGAAAAAAAGTAAAAGAAATTGAATAACACAAAGAGACAACCGCACTTCATAAGTGGAAATCTAAAATCACGCTGATGAGAAAGCTCATAATATCCCAATCCCCATTTTTAACCATGCCATGACAGAAACAGACCCCAAATCAAGAAGCAATAAGAGAATGATGCATAAGGTTCAAGAAATGGGAACAGAAAAAGGAAAAAAAAAAAAAGAAAGCGCTATAATACACGGAGTGAGTTTTCTATACCAGTGGCAGGTAAGAAATGTTCGCGTCCTAGGAAAGCAAATTCTTCAAAGACGGACTCGCACTAGCCCCCGACCCGCCATTCGTCCCGCTGGCCGTGGTATGCCTGGCGGCGCTAGGTATAACCGGGGTGTCTTCTGGCTTAACCGGAGGCGTCGGTCCTCGTGGATCCATATGTGCCTGTGAGACGGGCGGCGACTGTGCTGGCGCCCCAAGCACGCGATCCACAGAGTAGACACGTGGCGGGGGCCCACCATTCAATGCGCTCAGCGAATGTTGAGGCGAGTGCCGGACCATTGTCGCCTGTACATCCGGAGGCGATGCCGACGGAGCATATGGGCGAGGGCCTGTCGCATGGGAAAGATGAGGCGAGGGCATCGACACAGGTCCATACGGACTCTGGTGCGTGGGGAATGGCTGGGGAGGAGCATGGGATCCCGGAGGGTAATGGGATAGCGGTGGAGCATGATGAGAGGGGGTGGGCGGAAATCCGTTCATATGGTGTGCGGGCGGTGGTGGTGGCGGCGGTGGTGCTGCTGCCCGATAGCCAGGGACAGGCAATCCGTTGCGCAGCTTGCTGTCACCAAAATCCGCCGGACGCTGTTCATAGCCGGGGTGCCATTCGGAGCCGCCGTGAGGGAGCCCCATCGGTCTAGGAAGCACTCCAGATTGCGGCGGATGGCCATGGTGATTGCCAAACGGGTGGTTGTGGTACTCGGTGAGCTTGGGCGCAGGCAGGACCGGGCGTTGTGCTGAGTAGGGAGATGGACGAGGCTCGGGCGATGGCTGGGGTTGGGCCACCGGCTTCTTAAGATGGCACTTGTGGCACTCGTACAAAGTCTGCGATCCTTCGCTGTTGACCGCCGATAAAGCAGTCTTCTCTGGACTGTACTCCCCGTTCAGGCGCGGCAGACCATGCTGGGATGGAGTCTGATGGGGATATGGAGGGCTTGCAGAGGCCGTGCTGAACCGAGACCCCACAGGATCATTCAGACCAACCCCGTTAAGCAGAGGCGTCCGGTGGTCGACTCCGGTCGTGCGTCGCGACTTATCCAGAGGCCACCATCTGGGGCTGAAGGAACTCGAGCAGCGCGCACACTTTCTCGTCACATCAGTATCAGTGACAGGCCGGGGGGCATGATTTTCAGAATCGATCACCATCTCATCCGGAGCATCCTCTGGTGTTTTGTGATTGTCCTTTGGCGTTGTCGAAGCTGCTGGTGCTGCTGGAGCCGCTGAGACCACCGGGGGTGCCGTGACACTGTGAACAGAGGAGACTCGGCGGTTCGCGGAAGGTGTCGCAGTCTGATGTGAGACATTGACCAATTGTTGCACATATGCCGCCTTTCTAATGGTTCCTGTCAAGGTCAGATCGGCTTGCTTGTATGCCTCGGCATACCGCCGCAGGGCGTTGACACCCTCTTCTTCTGTAGGCTCGCCGATCTCATGGATCGTCGCCGACACTGGATGATGAGGGCACCAGATCCCCGCCGAGGCCGATCCAACCTCTTCTCCTAGCCGTACACTGTTCACAGAATCCCTTCTAGAGCTTTTGATAGGGGTAACGTCAAACCCAAACTTGTACTGCGCTTGGAATGCACAACCGACGTGGAAACGGGCGTTGCAGTTGTTAAAATGGCACGGCACACATGCGCCTTTATCGCTCTTGCAGATCTTGCACACATCGCGCCACCTATCCCTTGGGATCAGACTGAATCCCTCAGCTGGCTCGAGCTCCTTTGCGTTGCCGAATTTGATCTCTGGCGTCCACATGGCACACGTGACATGCACCCAGTTGTTGCCGGCCGTTCGCTTCAATGGCTCTCGAGGACCGATGGGCTTGCCCACGGCCTCTTGCCTTTGCCGGTAGAGTTTGATAGCTTCATTGACCATCTCCTTTTCCAGCCGCTCCTTCTCCCGGTCACGTTCAGTCTTCTTCTTGTGCGTCGACCTCGGCGCCTCCATCAATTCATGCTCCGTCCAGGTCACCGGGCACAGGACACATTCATACGTGGTCGAGATCATGGGGTCGCGATCGTTCGAGCACATATCGCAAAGCCACTTGACGCAGTTCCGCGACGGGCTGACACCGTAGCAGCTTCTGTGCACGGTCAGGCGGCAGTCTCGGCAAGACAGATGCTGGTCGCCTTCCGGCTCCATCTTGTTGCAGATGGAGCATGGGAGCGTTTTGGCCCTAGGGGGATCGGGAACGATTGGTGGAGGTTCAGGGATGCGGTCCGCAGCGACTTTCTTCTTTGGAGCTGGCTCCACGGAAGTGGCTGTCGATGTCGCGGCGCTGTCTTTCTCGGTGGACCGCCCTCCCTTCTTCTTTGTAGTCTCCTGCTGCACCTGTGGGTTAGCGTTCACGGGGACGCCGATTGAAGCCGCAGTCGCTGCAGTCGCGCTGTTGATACTGATGGGAGTCTCGGTGGAGACGAGGAGCTGAGTCAGAAGCTCCTCATCTACTCGGCGACGCCAGGACTTGTTACCACTTTGCGCGATCTTTTTGGCCACTTCATCGACGCTTTCCCACTGGATACCGTACTTCCTCCATAGCAATGCACAGCGCAAGCATAGGGCCACAGTCAGTTGTGATCCCTTATCTTTTTGCTTCGACGCAGGCTCGCTCGAGGTAGTAGTGCCTGGCGCAGTACCTGGGGCGCGCCGCCACTGACGGGAGGTCCGCGTCGAGCAGAACTTGCACTGGAACCCACGCTTCTTTTCGACGGCTTTGTCGTTATCAAATGCCGAGTCATCATGATCGTCGGCCACATCGTCCACTAGCTTCGCCGCACTGCTTCGCTTCGCTTCCTTCTTGCCCCGTCTGCCTTCATAGGCGCCCCAGATTTGACGACCACGCGGCGTTTTCTTCCACATGTAGTAGAACCTCACAATCTGGTAGTGAGGCACAGTACCCACGTACTTGGTAATATTCCGCCACTCCGATCCAAACTTGGAAACTGCCTGTTCGAAGAGTTTCAGTTCTTCTGGGCGTAGATGCGGCTCTTTGAGATCCTTGTACTTGTTCATCGTCTTCAACTTTGCCAGAGCCGCGTCGGGATTGAAGCTGTTAGAGTAAAGGAGTTCAAGAGCCTTGTCGAGGAAATTAGTAGCGTATTTCTCTTCCCCAAGTTGGGGAGCCAACGCCTTGGCGCGTTCCATGTAATCGTCCACGAACTTTTCCCGCTCGGCGGGGCTGAGATGGGAACCAGGCGCGTCGTCTTCGCCCCGAGAGGATGGAACCTGGTCTGCAGTGGGCATCTTGAACATTGGCTCTGCAGTGCGGACTTGCTTCCCGCCCACAGTGACTGGTTCGTCTTCGCCGCGCCGCACGTACCCTAGGGGCTCGTCCATGACCCACTTCGGTCGGTTGGCCTTTTCCTGTTTGGCGGCTTCGATGGCGGCCACAGTTTCCTTGGAAAGCTTCGAATCTTTGCGACCTCCGGATCCTCGCATATACTTTTTCTTGATGTCGATAGGCTTGACATACTCCACCGGCTTTCCAGGCCAGGCATTCACCATGGCCTGATGCCGAGGACCCAACCGCGAACTGGCGCGCGGGTAAATGCGGTCGTCATAATCGAGGGCGTCTTCGACACGGCAGTGAATTCCCAAATAGCGATAGGGCCACATTCTGGCTTGCGCAACCTGTTCTTCTGTAGCCGGACGCACCTCTTCTTCCACAGGTGCCGGAGTGCTGCTTGTGGTGCCATTCGTCGCGCCATGGGGTTCTTCCTCCTCCTCTTCGACCATCTCCTCATCAGCTTCCGGCTGATTCTCACCCAATATCGGAGTATTCCGTGCCTCGAGCTTTCGTTCTTGAGCGCGACTGCACGCTGCGCAAGCCCAAGCAAAGCCACGGGCCGGCTTCTTCGTCAGTACCGGTCGAACACAGTACATATGATAAGTGCTGTGACAGACGGCACAATCAACCGAGTCATTGCTATTCCAACGTTAGTATGATTGAATCAGCCCATCATAAAGAGTATGGATCGGTATACCTTGCGGCGTACAAGCTACAGCGCTTGCAGGTCTTCACGGCGCTAGTAAGTTCCTTCCGTCGTCCGATCTCGACCAGAACGAACTTCCAGCGCTCGTCCAAAACCTTTTTGACGTTGCCCGGGACGTTGATGACCTTGCTGGTTGGGATTACGTCGTAGTAGCGGTGGATGTATCGGTCAAACATCTTGTCGTACCAGAAACAATCCCGGGTCTTGCGGTACGTGTCGATGTCGGTGATCTCCGACAGGTGCTGGATCTGGCATTTTCCGCGTAGGGATGTGAGAGGACATGTGTCGGAGTGCATGGAGGCAAAGACCAAACGCGTGTCGGCGACCTTGCGCTGGATGTCACGTGGGCGATAATACCAGTTCACCCGCAGTGCCTCGATCGGGCCGGAGGGCGCATCTTTGGAGGGCAGAAATTCCATGATCCGTGCCAGATAGTACGGTTCCCCCGGCGGTTCACAGATCAGGTAGACGTGGTCTAGATGAGAATACTCAGTACAATTTTATGCCACAGCAGCAATGTTATCAAGTAAAAACATAATAGAAAAATAGAGAAAAAATCAAGGAGGTGAATCTCACCATTGACAGCGTAGGTTGTGCCGTCATCGGCTCTGAGTTTGCCATCTTTTAGATAGGCACCGCGGCTTTCGAAACTGACCATGTTGGTTTCGGCCGGGTTGTACGCTAGTCCTGGGGCCGTCGTAAAGATCTTCTTGGCTGCATTCCCACTCGCAGCATTAGTGGTGGAACTGGCCGGCTGTTTCCGTTTCCTGGACGAAGAGCTGGCTGAGGTCGGTGCCGCCCCCTCCTCGAACTTGGCGGAAAATGAAGAAGTGCCAGGAATCAAGTCTTTGGCAGCAGCCGCGCCATTGGCACCATTGACCGCCGTTAGACTCTTCCGCGACGTTGCCGATGAGACGGGCTCCTCACTGTCGGCTTTGACGCCATTGACGAAGCTGCCGGGAACACCGCTACTTCGTTTGGCGGACTTGGAAACTGGTTGGGCGATCTCCAGGTCGACGTCGATGTCGCGATCTTCCGCATAATTGGGGCGGGGAGCGGCATTGCGACCTCTGGAGCGAGTCCCATACGGCGCCGGGGTGGTCGACGCGCTGGGAGGTTCCGTCGCGGTGACGTCTGAAGCAGACGCGCTGACAGCCATGGGTTGAGATGTGAGGTCGTTGCCGGTGGCGGCACTTTGGGGGGTGGGCGCCTCTACCGACCCCGTTCGGGAAGTCTGGCCAGGGGTGGGCATTCGACGGGATGTGCCAGATGGCGACGATGAGTTGGGTTTCCCGGGATTAAGAGGGGCCTTTTGGGATGGTGACCTGTCCGGGGCCATGGCCAACCCTCTAGTGGAATTCCCAAAATAGCCTCAAGTAAGAGGAGATGTATAATACCAAGAGAAAAGGGTAGTGTTGTTGGGGGGAAGTAAGAGAAAAAGAAGTGGGCGATGCACCTCCGGCGTTGTTGGTTGGCGTTTGAATGTCCACAGGATAGAAAGAGTAAAGGGAACACCAAACTGGATGGGGACGACGCGGAGATGCAAAGCTCAGCAACGGGCCGGGACGGAGAGTCGATCCCTCATGAGATGGGTGGAAGGCAGAGGGAAAGAGAAAAAAAAAGGGAACACGAAAAAAAAAAAGAGAAGAGGGAAAAGGGAAAATGGATCAGGCCTCGCACTGCAAATATTTGCCCGAAGCAACTGGGGAACCGTCAATCAATGGTACCCGCCAAAACCCAGAAAGCGTAATGTAATGGAGAAGTGGCAGCAGCTTTGCTTGTCGGGTCCGATTCACTTTAGTTACTCCCGCAAGGGCGCCGAAAGGGTCAAGATTGGTGGGTGTTTAAAAGGGCAAAAATTGGAAAACGCCCACAGGGTGCGGAATATCAAGATCGACAGGCTTCCGGAAAGTGATAAGAACAACACCAACCCGAACGGGGCGGAAGGATTACAGAGGAACAACAAGAAGAAGCAGGAAGAAAGCAGACCGGCGGAGAGGAGAGACTGCCGAACTGCATGAACGATGAGGCCAAAAGGAGAAGAGGGAAGAAAGAAAGAATGTAGGAGGGAGGAGGGAAAAGAGACAAGAGACGAGAGAGGAAGAGGAAGAGGAAGAGAGAAAGGGAAAAGCAAGTGAAAGTGAGAGATTGAGAGAAGTGAGTGAGGGAAGAAAGAAAGAAGGGAAAGGGTCGCTGGAAACGTCGGAGTAGTAAAATGAAGGTTAGCGGCGGTGGAAGCCAAACAAGCAGTAGAGCCACTTAGGGCGTTGGGAGACTCGTGGGGTGAGCACAGGATAAGGTCAGTACTTGCACCACCAGCCAGTCAGATCTCTCCAGTCGGCGGAGGTGGCAGAAAAGTACGACCACAGGAAGTTATGGGAGTCACTCAGTCTGTAATGTGTTGTAGGGGCAGGCAAGTAGCGAAGCTAGATACAAGAGCCGTCGTTTAATCGGCACTAGTAGGGACCTGATTGATTGATTGATTGATGGAGGATGATGTATGCTGGATCGGGACTACCCAAGCATGGAAGTAAAGCACAAATCCATCCAGATGGGATGGGAGATGACGTTGTGATGAGAGAGGATTGTAGGAGTGATAGAGAAGCAGTTGTGCCTTAAAAAGCGTAGTTTGATCGGAAGGGGGAGGGGGATCGATAGATAGTTTGGAGGGATTGGGAGGGAAGAAAGGGAAGAGGGAAGAAGATGGATGGATGGGTGTAAATGTCGGAGAGAGACAGAGAGAAAGAGAGGGGAGGCGAAGAGAGCAGCCAGCAGCAATAGTAACCAAACTGGCAGTTCGTTCGTGACCCGGAAGGAAACGCGAGTCAAAAGTCAGAAAGGGAAAAGGACAGGCAAATGGAAATGCAACAGCAGCAAGTAGTCGTAGGAGTGGAAGAGGAAGAAAGCGAGAGAGCGAGAGCGCGCGCGAGAGAGACAGAGACCAGAAAGAATCAGGAAAGCCGTCGAGGATCCCGACCAGTCCACGTCCTCGCCCCTAGTCCCGATGTGTTAATATGACGGATCCTCCATCCACTCCCATGAACCAGATGAATAGTTGCTTTCCCTTCCTCCCTCTCGCTTTTCCTCTCTGGCGCATAACCTGCTCTATCGGCTCTTCGTCCTATCTGCACATCCCCATCCCGGCCATTTCAACCGGTCTTGATACCTAGCTCGGACAGTACCCAGGTTTCCCTCCCTTCGCTCGCTTTACTTTTTGCCTCCCACTCTTTCCAAAAAATATCTATAAGTTTGACCTACTCCAACAGTCTACAATGGATGTATTATGTGGGATGCATGGTTGTATGGATGTATGTATGAATGGATGTCTGTGTCTGGGCTTCGGGATTTATTTTTATAGCACCTTGCTCCCCTTGCTCGTCCAGGCGGCGGCGTGTTTGACCCGTTGGGTGATCTACGTCGGGACGCTGGGTTTTTAGTGGATTTACTTTCGTACTAGTAAAAGATCTCTCCCTCGGATATTAGTCGCTGGCCCTTGGAGGGGGATTGTGTGGGCCGAAAGACCCGAATGTGAAAGAATGATGATGATATCGGGAGAGAGGGGCCATGGCGATTGAAGAACGAGGGGGGGGGGAAGAGAAAGAGAGGGAGAGAGTAATGGGAATGGAAGGGAAGGGGAATGGGGGAGGGACCTGGAAACCTAAATTTAAGCAGCAGGGGAAAAATGGAAGTAGAAAGGATAGAAAGAAAAAGGGTAAAATTGAAAAGAAAAATAAAAATAATCAGAAGAAAGAGGACATGGGACGTACAAAGGGGAGAAGGGCAACGGGAGGGGAGAGAACCGAAGGAAAATGATCAAGAGAAATGATAATAATAATCATAATAATAATAATAATAACAATAATAATAAAGACGGGTCAAACGATCTTTGCATTCATTCATATTTAACTCATCCGCATATCCAGTCATGCATTCATTCATTCATTCATTCATTCATTATTATACTCTGGATCTATGGCTGTCCTTCTCCTTCCCTCCATTATTACTTACATTCGGGCAGTCAATACACAGTTAAAGTAAGATGGATAGCATGGGAAAAAGAAACTGCAGGTAGGAGATGAGGTGTGGCCAGGAGAACCAGCGAGAGGGCATGTCGAATCCACGGCAGGAATGTTGTCACGTAGGGCAGCGCATGCGCGTTGGATCTGAAATCCAGAGCGCCAAGTCCTTGTGCAGTGAGTGCCGAGTGGACAGATGGACCCATCCATGCCATCGAAGGCGCAGCGGATATCGTCTGTTTCAGTCTAGGACAACGGAAACGGCGTCAGCATCGTAACCAGGAGCAGAGTCGGCTGGACAATTTCGAAAAGAAAAGATTCGAGGCTCTTCTTCTCGCAGTTCTTTTTTCCCCCATTCCTTTTTTTTATTCCTTCTATTAATATGGAGAACGACTATTTTTGAATTATGTCATGTATGATCTCAAGCTGGAAAATGGGCGGGGGATTGTTGGAGAGTAAAGGCATGGTATGGGAGATCGTTCGTGGCAGTGATACCGCATTGTTACGGGGGTGTTTAATCAGGGCCTCCTATTTGCAGAACACCCAACCCCCTCCTCCAAAGTTGGTGAATCACTCCGTGGAGTTGTATAGAAAAGATATGATAACAACAACAAACATCGGAAATGAAATCGCGTGAACCTGAAATGAATTCTTTGTCTAAAACAGATTAGTTGCTTTAAATATAGCGGCTAATGTATGGTGTTAGTGGCAGCAGCAGCAGCAGCAGCATCATGTATGAAATTTCGTAGGCGGAGAGCATTTACTACATCAGCTGCAGAGGCGACTCGACGGTACTTAGCAAGCAGGTGGCCAGCCAGAAGGCGATCGAGGTTGAAACATGGTACCGGACTCGCCTTTCTCACAGTCTTTGAGTTTGGACCGACGGTCCATGCTGCGAGAGATTTTCCCGGGGGTGGTTTCTTACTGACTGACCTAAGGGAAGGGGAGGGGCAAGTTGGCGCAAAGAAGTGGTCCTGTACGACCGGAGACTGGAGGCATGGATACGTGCTGGAAATGCTAAGCCATTTTAGCTTAGGCGGACAACCGAAAACTCGGTTCAGCGACAAGACAGAAAAGGGTGAGGGAGGGAGGGTGCCAGTTCCATGGCTCCCTTCGACCTGCAATGCTAATTGACTAGTGGTGATTAGCAGCGACACAAAGTCGATCCTCAGGCAGGCCCGGGGTCTTCTTATGTGAACCTACCCACTCTCGGCCACTGAACTGACGGCCCCATCCCTCCGGTGCGGAAATTTACTCCTATCACTTCCGTGTGATCCTAGCCTGCGAGGCCAGTCTTGCCGGGACAAGCCGTTCAAGAACGCGCGGGAGAGGTGGAAATGATATCCAGTTGACGGCGGTTGTCGCTGTGCTGCAAAAGAAGCAGAAGTGGGCGCATGTGGTCCAGCTGCGGCGATGAGGTGATGATAACAGTAATCCGTCCACCAGACCGGGAACTTGGCCCAACCCTTAGCGCCTGGCCTAGGGTACATAATAGAATACCACTTCAACTCGCCTTCCTAATCCTAGCAAGCCAACAACTTCTTAAAGTAGTAAGGTACTTACTCCTTATCTCATGGTTCACTATGGATTTCCCCCGCCACGGCGGATCGTTTGGGTGCGAGGATTATTTTTTTTTTTTTTTTTTTTTTTACCTTTTTCAATTGTCTTGGCTCATCCGAAGGGACGTTCCGGCCGGATGGCAGCAGGTTAGGTAGATATTTCGGATGATGACCAGTGCTCCGGGGAATTCTGTCCCAATCATCTGGATCTCCCCCAAGTGCCTGGAGGAATGATAATCACTATTCCCGTACTTTACGAGGTCGATCAATTTGAAGCCGGCCTAAGTTACATCATCACCATCACCTCGATAAGCCCAACAGGAAGGCATCCCAGGTCTCCGGGCGACCAACGGAGTGACCTTGGAAACTCCTGGGATCAGAAACCGCCAGTCAACCTGGTCCAATGAGACTGCGACTTGGTTGCCGCGCTGGACGTCCTGATTCTGTTGCCACATTACAGCCTTCAGCAAGGCTGGCACTTACCCTTCCTTTAACCCAAGCAACATGGAAATGGTTTGCACCCCGCATCTGAGAGGTGGCCATATAGTGGTTTTTCCTACCAAGTATTGATGGTATCTCCAGATAGGACCTGGTAGTCAAATAGCAAGCAATAACTAGGTACGGTGGATGGTCTAGTGGCTTGGAGATGATAGTCTTTCCCCGTCAAAGGTAGATTGACCGGGGTTGGTCGGCTCTGGTGTTTCAAATGCCAAAACCGACAGCTACTACAGTGTAGTACCAAGCCGGACGCACTATCCTGTCACGACTCGCTCACGTCTTACTAGAATCGATGAGATAGTTGTCGATACCTGGGGGGCTAATTTAAATCGCAGTCGATTCTTGAACCAGAGAAATTAGGAATTTACAGTTTGAAGGTCCCAGTGATCTAATTCCTCATGATAATCATCTGATGACCGGAAACACAACCCCCAATTATAATGCTCGGCTGCCTCTACTTAACCCAACCGACCGTCCAAAACGTGTAAGGTGCAGACGCGGCAAAGTGACTCGATCGTCCGATGCTAAAGAGCGCGCTACTCTGATGGGGACGGTATGAAGGAGTCTGGCACCTCGGAACTGACTAGTGCCTGCAGAGGGCCCTAGGAAGGAACGAACTAATGTGTTACGATGTACACATGAACAACAAGATCAGGGTCAGCTCAGGTAAGCCCCCGTGGTCTTATATGTGATAGCTGAGTTCTTGCGCTGAATTCTCCTTGAAATAAGAGCACTGCAAATTGCTCAAAACAAAACTCGTAAAGGTGTGAGGAAGAACCACCCTAATTGTCATGAATTATGATGATACGGTGTACGGGAATGTAAGTCTGATCAAGTCTGCTTAAGCGTGAGTGGCCACATGTGGGTGGATCACTTGGGGGGTGTGGGCTTCTTCCCTCTTTGCTCTTTTTTTTCCCTCGTTTCTTTTCCTTTTTTCACCCTTCCTTTTCTTTTTCGGGCCCATAGCCCTCCGGTTCAATAATGTTGAAGAAGAATGGCACTTTGGCCCGAGGTATCCGTCTACCTGGGACACTCTGGCCACTTCAGCGCAAACGACCATGTACAGTGTAGATAGAGCTGAGCCGGAGCTTTCCCAGGATAAAAGTTGAGCTATTAAGTTAATGTCCACGGCAATTCACTATTATTATACATGGCATGGTAGGTTCATGGGAATGATGACTGTACACAAGAGGCTCGCAACGCGGGATGTGAGGAGAGGATGCACATGAACCAACCCATGAAGGGGCGTGTCAATAATGAGAAATGAAAAATAATACTCGGTCAGCCAGACTCGTGTTGCGCAGGTCCGCATTCTAGCACTCCGTATGGAGTCGGAGGCTGCCTGGCCTTACCTTAGTTCTTCCGTAGCCAAGAAGCTGTTATGATCCTAATCGTCAGGTGACCCCAGGCAGCCAGCCCGCACGAGACAATCGTGTTGCTCAGAGAGAAATATTGTCATATTAATGCGGTAAGTTCCATAGTGAAAGTTTGTTTCTTGGAGGCAGGTTTTATGCAGTTTCCACTGTCCCAGAAGAGTATCCCGATGCTTGTCGGAAGGTATGTATGAGAGGGGGGGAGGTGAACATGAACTTCAACTAGCGATCAATAATAAATGTTGGGTTCTGATAGCCGGGCTTCTTCTCCGGCCACCCTTGCTTACTCACCTACCTTTAGTCTGCAGAGCGCGCGCGGGACAAGAAGGAATAGCGTGGCAGCTGGATTCTTTCTAACGTCTGTGCCCCCCAACTGGGTCGCAGGGTGGTATTGCCCGGGTTAGTGAACACTGGACGCCTACTGACTGATCGAAGTACATACGAAATCAGTGGTGATCAATGCGATCGCCATTGTCTTTATTTCATATTCCTGCTTCTGATATTTTGGCTGCCGGACTCGTTACTTCAGTTCCCTCGCCCGTACGGGGAGGAATGATCATATCCGGGGACGCTGCTAGGCACCATATGGCCAGTGCCACTTGCCCACGGAAGATGCATGCCGCTATTGACTAGCACACGACCAACCTCCGTTGGGTAAGTCATTCCTTTCGACTGGCGGATCAGCAGGGCTCCGATTAGCGGGTGAGCCGATCCAGGAACGTTTCCGCACGGGAACAGAAAAATAAAAAAGCCCATCACACCTACTACTATCAATATTAATTGTCACTATGATATTATCATTGGGTTATTATATCTTGGGTATGAGATTTATGCTATTTATTCATTGCTCATTTCACAGCAGAATAACTCGGGCCTATCAGGCTTTGCAGGATGTAGTATGTAATGTACGTAAGTATCACCTAGCGGCCTTAGGCTCGCCGAGAAGGCAGATCGGGGGTGTGGTGCCTGAGGCCGATGGGTCACCCACATCTTTACTTAGTTACTGGATGGGATGCAGTTTCCCGAAACGAGCGCGTTGCACCCGCGTTCCTGCCAGAACCATCACCCCCACAAACAGGTCTGTCTCGCCAAGGTTCTGGCATGGTTGCCGCCATAATCACCATCATCAACACTGTCATATCTGGTCTGGCTGAGTATTTAACACGCTTGGGTATCTATTCCTCTCATTTCTGTTGTGATTCGTTTATATTAAGCTAGTTCTTGTCCCACCGGGATTAGCCATCCTTGCAATGTTGCCTGGGCACTCTCCGACCATATTATACTTTCCATGAATTTCATTGCGTATGGGAGCCCCACGAGAGCCGCCATAGCTGTAAAGAGGTCTAAACGTCGGCCCAGGTATGTCTGCACCACCTGGGCAGCCATTTCAGACCTATGGCTTTCAGACATCCGTCGATATTGCCCGCCAGCGGACGTTCGAGGTAGTCCCATTGGCTGGAAACAAGCGACCCCCGGACCCTACTGCAGACGATGATCACAGGCCAGTGGGAGTCAGACATCCTACGACTGTTTCTAGTGCGGTTGGCCGGTCGGTAGATTTTATCCGCCCCTCGTTCATCCTTCCCAAGGCCCGTCTGGTCGCCAGTGACATCTATCCGGTTGCTGAGACGCCGGCGGCGTGTCGTGGTCAACAGCTGAATGTGTTCCCTACCGACCAGGATCCGGCACACAATCCTTATTTGTCCTTGAATCACCCCACGTATGGCTTGCCTCCAGGACTGGTGGCTAACTTTGCCGCAGCTGGGCTTCGCAGTATCTACCAGTGGCAGGCGTCATGCCTTCTAGCGACAGGCCTCCTCAAGGGCGACCGACATTTAGTCTACACAGCCCCCACGGGCGGGGGGAAGTCTCTCGTCGCCGATGTTTTGATGCTTAAGCGTATCATTGAGAACCCCGGACGCAAGGCTATCCTTGTCCTTCCCTATGTTGCCTTGGTACAAGAAAAGCTCAAGTGGCTCAGACGCATCGTACAGGATGTCGAGAAAATCACCCATGATGCTGATGACCAAGCAGCCAATGAAAAACCGTACCACAACCGGTGGAACAAGCTCCAGCGATCGATCCGTGTCACTGGGTACTATGGTGGAAGCAGGACTGCTGCATCCTGGGCAGACACAGACATAGCTGTCTGCACAATTGAGAAGGTGCGTTAAGTCTTTTGTCCTCGAGGTCACGAATCATCCCTGATAGTTGTCACATAGGCGAACTCTTTAATCAATTCCGCCATTGAAGAATGCAGCATTGGCGACTTGGGTGTAGTCGTTTTGGACGAGCTACATATGCTGGATGATGAACATCGCGGGTATTTGTTAGAACTCATGGTCACCAAACTACTCCTCTTGCGACAGAAGACCCAAATCATTGGCATGAGTGCCACCCTATCGGTATGATTTTAGACTCGGTTCGCAAGCCTTAAGGCTATCTTTCTGACGAGTCCAAGAACACAGAAATGCTTGCTGAGTGGATGAAGGCCGCTTACTTTGTGTCGACATACCGACCAATACCGATTGATGATTACCTGGTTTATGAGAATGCAATCTATCCCGCAGCAACCTCGAGGCAGCTTTTCCAAACGATCTCTAAGCTGAAGTCGATGTCCAACGCAACTTTCATGGAATGCATGCCTCCAGATCGTGTTATTCGCCCCTCAACCTTCCGCGAGCTTGCAAATCCCATGACGAATTCGACTGTAGCTCTGGCAATCGACACAGCCGACGCCGGGCATGGCGCCTTGGTTTTCTGCGGTAGTCGGCATATGTGCCAGATCCAAGCAGCTGTTATAAGCGAAGCAATGCCAGCACCTGCGGAGAACACAGATGAACTCAGCAAGCGTTTAGATTTGCTTGCTGATCTACGCAGTCTGCCTAGCGGCTTGGACCCGGTTCTCGAAAAGACGCTCGTGAGAGGAGTAGGGTTCCACCGTAAGTACCATTCGCATCGATTCCACGCATATGCTAAGCTATCGTATAGATGCAGGAATGACAGCAGAGGAGCGCGAACTGATAGCGCAGGCATACGACCAAGGTGTCTTGCGTATACTCATAGCGACCTGCAGTCTTGCGGCTGGAGTCAATCTCCCTGCACGGAGGGTTATTATCAATGGAGCACGCATGGGCAGGGAACTTGTAGGGCCCGCAATGCTGTAAGGTGCCTTTGTAGTGGATATAGTGTGCTATCGGCTAATATTCGCGAAGGCGACAGATGTGTGGAAGAGCTGGCCGCAAAGGGAAAGATGAGGCAGGTGAGACATACCTGATATGTGGGGATAGCGACCTACAAGCGGTCTGCGACCTCTTAGAAGCAGAAATGCCCGCCATCGAAAGTTGCTTAGCCCCGGAGAAGAGGGGACTCAAGAGGTAAGTTCTCAACTCCTTCTTTCTGAGGAATGGATAGCTCACCTCCCACAAGGGCACTATTGGAAGCTATTGCGACCGGGCTTGTCTCCGGTCACGATGCTATCAAGGAATACGTTAGATGTACCCTTCTGTACCTGACGGTGGATAAAAGGGTAGCCTACGGTATCATGGGTTCCGCGCTGCAAGAACTAGCCACCGAGGGGCTAGTACAATTGAACGACGACGAATCGTACTCATCAACACAACTTGGCCAAGCGGTAGTGGCTTCGGCGTTTGCGCCCGAAGACGGTCTCTTTGTCTACGAGGAGTTGAGAAGAGCGTTGCAAGCATTCGTTATGGATGGCGATATGCACATCTTCTACTTGTTCACGCCCCTGCAAGCAGCCACGGCAACTCCGATCGATTGGCTTATCTTTCGCGATCAGTTGGACAGCCTCGATGAGAGTGGGCTACGCGCATTGCAGTTCGTTGGTGTCAGTCCAGGTTTCGTGAATACGATGTATTTTGCCTCACAACCCCTTTGATCGTTCATGAAGGCGCTAACGG